TTTAAGTTGAGTAAAGAACAATGTCCTAATGATGAATATGATATCAAATACATGCAAAAGGTGCCATATGCTAATGATGTTGGATCGGTTATGTATACTATGGTGTGTACAAGACCTGATGTTGGACATGCTATTAGCATTTTGAGTAGGTTTATGGCAGATCCTGGTCTTGAACATTGGACTGCTTTAAAATGGCTTTTAAGATACTTAAAAGGTTCTGCGGATTTAGGTTTGCATTTTAAATTTTGTAAAGAGGAAGTTGTGTTACGGGAATATGTGGATTCTGATTATGCTAGCAATAAGGATAATAAGAAATACTACAAAAGCTGGGTATGTAGCTGCTATTGAAGCTATTAAAGAGTCTTTATGGCTTAAAGGCTTGTTGAGTGAATTAAATGAATTGCATAATACTGTTGTTGTTTATTGTAATAGCCAAAGTGCCATTCATTTGTGTAAAAATTCAGTTTTTCATGATAGGACTAAACATATAGATGTTATGATACATTTCATTAGAAATATAGTTCAAAAATAATCCATATTGCTTGAAAAAATTCATACACAATTTAACCATGCTGACATGGGAACAAATGTACTTCCTCTTACCAAATTTAAATCATGTTTACAAATTCTAAGAACTGATACTAGTTGAATTTGTGTTTTCTGCAGGTATGGTTCTTTGTAGTGTTGGTGTTGATAAAAACTAATGTGTTTGGTTGTTTATAACATTGGCATCAAGGGGAGATTTGTTGAATTGTGATGTCATTCTTGTCAATTGCATTAAATCCTTTTTTGGGTTGTGATGAAATGTAGGCTAAGCCTACTTGCCAAATGTTTTTTAGTTGGTCATTGCCCAACAACTCAATACTTCAAGCCCAAACTTGAGCCCAAGGTGGAGGCCACATGTGTTGCTCTAGACCGTTAGATTGATGATTGGATCTACGGTGATGGTGTTTTGTATATATACCAGCTGAATGGTCAATGTGTGATTTTTCATTTTGCCTTCTGTTTAATTCGATAAAAGCTTTTGGGTTTTCCTTCTCGCGTCCATCTCTGTATTGTCTCTTTCAATTCTGTGTGAATTGTTCAAAACTTCTGGTTTTGATCTTAAATCTTGTTATTTGGGTCTTAGTGATTCTTCGATTGAGGGTTTTAAAGTCTTGGGTAAGTTGTTTGATCTTGGTCCATTGTAGTAACTGTGGTGTGTTCATTCATCTTAGGGTTTGGGTTTTGTAGCTATTTTATTATTGTACAGACGGGTACAATGTTTATGTTCTGAGCCCTATATATAAGGATCAATTTCTTTGTGTTCTTGATCATTTGGATGTTCCTAGTGATTCCGATTTTTTGCTTTCGTTGATATTTTAGCTCTACTGAGGGATTTTCGGTGGAGAAAGAAAGAGGGTATCAATTGGCGTAGACATGATGTACGATTCACATATTTTTCTCTTAGATGTAACGAACTTTAGGGCTAGATAGCACTTCAGCTCTTCAAGTTATCGCGTTGCTTTCCTTCATGGCTCAAGTTGAACAAAGAACCATAGTCTTGTTAATTCACCAGCCAGGCGATTAGGATTCTTCATTACATTTCCAATATCTTGATTCTTTTAAGGGCTCTACACTCCACAATGATTCACTCGAATCATTGGAAGAAATTATTACGTGATTGGGATATAAAATTCTAGTGCAAATAAATTCCCTGGAGTTGTCCATGGAAATTATTTCCAAGCTAAAAAAGTCGTACTCGAAAAATCTTTTCCGGGTGACATAGCCGGACCTAAGGAGAGGCCAAAGATATTGCAGCTTCAAGCCCAACTCTTTATGGGACCCAAAAAAAAATTTTGTTGCTAAAACCCATTCATTACGTTCAAAACCTCCAATAACTGTCTCGCTAAAACAAAACCCAGACCTCCTCTAAAATTCTCAATTTCTCCAAAATCGAACTAGTTTATATTTGTTCACTCTTGCTCCAAACAATTAGGTTTCTTCAACAATGATATCATGAATCGGGTAATAATTCTGTATACATTTGAAGTTAAATTGCTAGATTTTTTTTGTTGATTTACGCATTCCGTTCTATAAATTTTTGTTTTATATATATGATTGCAACGAAAATTAATTGGTTGTTAGTATATCTAGATTTCCATCCATTAGTTTCTAATGACATTTATAGATGCTACAGTTTTTAGATTAATCGGTTTTTATGAAATAAAACATTTTAATGGATTTCTATTAATTTCTACATTGTGTGCGTACTTTTTTTTTTTCATTTGAAAAACTCTATATTTTATGACTGTGTAAGAAAGGGAAAGCCACTGAGGGTTGAGAGTTTGGGAAATTTAATAAATCGATTGTTTTATTGTTCATACAAGTATTTTCAATAATGGGTTTGTTTGTGGGATTATCTACTTTGTTTCGTTGGATTTGTATTGCTCTATTATTTGGTCTTTGTTTTAGTGGAGTGTGAGTGTGGTGGTTTTGGAGGTACTATAGGGTTTGGACTAGGAATACTCAT